GGGCCCATGTAAAGTGCCGAAAGCCATGTTGATGAAGGCCTAAGTTCTATTATTGAGTCAACCTTTTGAAAAAGCCCGCAACTACACTTTGGATATTCTTTTTAATATTTAAAACTATTTTCTAAAAGTCATCAGATTTTAATATTTAAACAAATAGTTCCAAAAACCTTAAAAATACAATAAATTGATTACATTAGTGACTAGATTTTAACTCTCTCTCTCTCTCTATCTATCTTTAATTAGATGAAATGTTTCTTTGAGTTTACAATTTTGTAGTATTTTTTTATTGAAGCAGTGTTTTTTTTATTTTCTAATTTTGTATGTGTATTCGCTTTCTTGTCCTGATATTGTTTACTAAATTAGAGTTTTTTTTTTTAAAGAAGGTATAATTTATTATAATTTATTCTACATAAATAAACATAATTAAGGTACAGAATTCAATTAACTATGTTATTTAAATTTTAAACTTAACAAAAAATATATTTAAGATATTGTATAACATTAATAATAAAATAATACAATATAAAAATACTAATTACAGCTAAATAATATAGTCAAAATAATCCATTTAAAATAAAAACTACAAAATTTTAAATTAATTTATAAAGGCTTCAAAAGATATTTTATAAATTATAATAAATTAAAATTGGTAGAAATTGTATTTAACTGTGTAATTTTTTCATTTTATATATTATTAGATCCGATAATCTTACCTATCACTCTTATATTTAATATACTAGATTAAATACTTCCAACCATCATTTATTTATTTAATATACTAGTTTAACTGCTTTTAATTATTGGTGATGTGAAATATAGTAATTTAAAAAAGTTATGATCTAAATTAAATTAAACTTATTTTAATTTGAACTATTTAAATGGATTTTAAGTTAAATTAACTCAAAAGTTTATAAGTACTCGGTTTTATAAAATAATCACTTTTAAAAAATAATATTATTTTATTAATATATATATATATATATATAATAAATTAATTTGATAATAATTTATTTTTTTAAGATTAAATATCAAAGTAAATATTTAATAATTATTTATTTTAATATTAAGATTAATTATTATTTTAAATTAATAAATTATTGAAAATAAATAATGATAATAAAAAATAAGTTTTTAATTTTTATTTTAAGAATGAATTGATACATTCTTTTATAATTCATATATTAAGTTATTATATCTTAAAAAAATTAAATTTTATTAATAAATTAATATTTTTAAAATATATTTTAATTTTAATTTTTATTTAAATATTTTTTAATTAATTTATTTTATATAGATATGTAAATATTTTATTAAAATTTAATCAATTCAAGATTAGACAGTTGGTTTGATATAAGATGAAATTAGATTAAAACTTTTAATCCGTTTTAATATATAAGTAAGATTATACCATCAAATTTTTTTATTTAATTAGTAGATTAGATCAAATTGAACCGAAATATTTCACCTTGTAATTAGTTTTGTATTTAATTTTGTTAAACATTACTAAAGAGAGAAAAATACTTCTTCCAAGTAAACTTCTGTGGAATGTATTGAAATTGTAATAATCTGGAAATTAGTTCTTAAACAAAGTATACGCATCAAACTGAAAAATGAAAATAACAATTCCCCATATATTTAATAGGTTTATCCCATAATTGATAATTCTAGTCCACATATGAGTTGGGTTTCCTACTTATTGGGTTTACGCCCTTTTCCACGAGCCATAAGATCTTGGTTGCTATATTGCCAACACCACTAGTATTACTAGTCAAGGAAACAGAATATGAAAAATATTTTAGGTTTTTAATATTTTTTCTGGTAAAATTAGTTTTGTTTAAAGGGAAAGATTTTAGACCATCAACTTTGTGTATAAACTAAAACGATATTATTGTAATTAGGTTATTGATCTTGAATTTAAATTTATTATAAGATATTTAGATGAAAATTTGATTACATATAATCATTTTGTTATATCCATCAACTTCTAATCTTAATTGCAATATATATATATATATAATATTATTGTCATAATCCAATTATATACTTATAATAAATTATAGTTTTTAGCTAAATAATAAACGTTAGATTTTTCAATTAACATCAAGCAAAGTATTTCTATTATTCAATTATAAGTTGCTTTTAATTATTGTATTTTTTTTGCAAGAAAAGTATTATAAAATTATTCTATGGTGAATTTTTTATTCGAGAGATATATGTTTTTTTTATCAAATTTTCTATCTTGGAATTTCTAAAAGTCTCTATTTTATCCATTTCAATAGTATCTAGTTTTATTTTCCCTTCATTTTGTCTTATATTGGATTCGTAACTTCAAAAAATATAAAATTTCAGGTATTTTTTATTTATGATTTTAATATATTTTTCCTCTATGTATAATTTAATTACAATTTTTTTATTTTTTTGAAATAGGTATATTTTTAGCCCTTATTTTTCCTTTCTAACTTTATCTTTCATTTCTTATATTTTGAATTTGATAAATTCGATTCTTTCATTCCTTTCTAACTTTATTTTTTTTAATATACATTTAACATCTGATAAGTGTGTTTTACTGTCACAAAGTTTGTAAATTGTTTGAATAATTAAAATAGATGATTTTAATAATTTTACCTAAATTTAATATTTAATAATTATTTTTAATCTCATAAAATGGCTAACTTGTTCAAAGTATACTTAACATTGTAATATCCAAACTCATTAAATTTAATGAATTTTAACAAAGTAAGATACATTAATCAAGGTCTCAATTAATATTAACATAGTCTTCCCTTATATTTAAGATTTATTTTATTATATAAATATTTTTATAATAGGAGGTTAATATTGTAATCATTAAAAACCTATAAAATAATATCTTAAACAAAACTTAATATAAGTTATATATTTTTTGTTCAATAAAATTAGTTATGTAGTATTATATATAAAAATATTCTAGTTAAAATACTAATATGAGGTAATATTATATTAATAAAAAATGACATTATATATATATATATATATATATATATATAAAGTTATAATATATTGTATAATTAAAACTAACGCATTATTATACATAAAAATATTCACATATAAATACTAACCAAAATTTAATGTGATGAATTTCTGACACAAAATAATTATAATAAACAATTTTACTTAGAGATTAAAAAAAGTATTATTTTATACTCTTTTTTTATTAGTTACCATCAAGTTAGAATTTAGACCATGTTTAATTTAATTTACTTATACTATAAAATTCTAAAAATTAGTTAAAATATAAATTAATTGTTATTATATACAATTTTTTTTAAATGCAATCATGATAATTAAACATTTGAGTTTGATTGAATATGAATAAAATTCATCAAAAAGAAAACAAATCTTCCTAAATTAATGTATAAATACAATAATATTTTTTTTCAAAAATTTTATTATTTGGAGTGACATTTTTTAAAATAAAATAGAACTACAGTATTTAATATATTCCTAATATAAAATATATGACCCACATCATGGATATAAAAAAATCCATAAATGCGGTATCGACAGATAAAATCTGCAATGGATAAAAAATGGATATTATAAATAGATACCCGCGGGTAATGAGGTATAAGTAGTTTTTATATCCCCATGCTAATGGGGCAGGTATGTGTATCATAGTATCCGTACTCGTGGATATTCGTATCCACTAATCTCTAATTTATCAAATACTCACACACACACACATATATATATATATATATATATATATATATATATATATATATATATATATATATATATATACTCATTTTTTTTGGAAGAAAAGAAAGTTGGAAGTCAAATTGCAAAGAGAAGTGACACGTCAAATTTCATGTCAGAATTAAATCATTATTTAGAAGAGGCAATACTTCTTGATTCAGATGCACAATTTAATATCTTAGCTTGGTGGAAAACTAATGGGTTAAAATACCCAACCTTGCAAATGTGAGCGAGAGACATTCTAACAATTGTCATCTCAATTGTTCCTTCGAGTCTTCATTTAGTAATGGTAGTCGGATTCTTACTCCATATCGCAGTAGATTACTTTCGGATATTGTGGAAGCATTGATGTGTTCAATATTGGTTATGGATTAACATGGAAAGTAATGAAATTAACACTTTTAATTAGATATTTTAATTAAATGATTGTTATAAATTTTTAATGAACTTATTATGTTTTTCAGGCTCTTCAAAATTAAAAATGGACAACATGGAACTTTATTAAATATTGTAAGATATGGACATTGATAAAATTAGTACTTTCTTTAATATTTCATTAAAAAATAAACAACAATATTATTTGTTAGTGAATTTGATTTGTTTATTTGTCAGGAATCAATCAGACAAAATAGAATTATTGATGTAAATACTAAAAACTTCCATTGTAATATAATTTAATATTTATTTTTGTAATTTTATTTAAATTTGTAAGAATTTAAGTTTATGTAGACTTTGTTTGAAACTTACCATAATAATGTATTATATTTTATTTGAATTTATTTAGACTAAAAGTTAGTTTTATATATAAATTTTTATATAGATCTTTTTTAAGTTTTAATAATTATATAATTTTTTATAACTTTATATTATTTTTATACAACTTTTTTATAACTTTTTATAATTAAAATATTTTATTAAATATTTTTAAAATTTGTTTTAAATATCCATGATACCCCTAAATATCCCGAATATTAAACAAAAATGCGGCCACGTAACAAATACCCGTACCCGCCGCCCCGTTGACATCCTAACCCACACACAAGTTTATTTTTAAGTAGAAAACAGAAACACTGCAAGAACAATGGTTCGCATGTCACATAAAAACGTGCACGTGTCGACTGCACGCAAGCAGGGAACTTCCTCCAATAAAACGCCACGTTCCAGTCACTAGAAAGTGAGTAGCCACGTTGGCCGAATGTCCCACCACTAGGCCCAAGTGGCCCAAGCGTCGCGCAACTGGGTGACCGGGTGCAAGCGGTCGACTACGCCACGTCACTAGCGGGCCCCACCTTCACAAGCTGGCGACGCTTTTACGGATCTAAAACCTCAGCCATGAAGTTTGTGGATGAGATTCGAGCTACGAAAAAAGATTAAAAGCCGCATCCCGTAGAAGTAAATAAAAAAAGAAAGTGAGAAAAATAAGGAAAAGTGCAAAGGTAAGCATCAGCACCAAGAACCAGTAGTTTAGCGCCACTTTTCGCTTTCCCATAAGCCGAAGCTTCTCCGTCTCAAAAAAAACAATAATCAGTTGTTAATTTTCGGAAGAAAAAAATAAATCCACACGAAATTATAGTGGCTGAGATTGCTCCTCGCGCTTAAACACTTTCGGGTGAGTGTCTGTAGCAATTTCGGGTTCTGTTTTTGGTTTCGTTTCAGCAAAACCTCTCTTCTTCTTCTTCTGATTGCTTGCTTCCACTTTGCGATTTTTCGATTTTCGTTTTTCTCTTTTTCGGTTTCCGATCTGAACTCAATTCGATTCGCCATTGTCGGAAAATGAGTCCGCCGGCGAGTGTCCGGTGATGATCGCTCTCGCGAGATGTTCTTCTTCTTCGATGTCACGATTTCGTTCCGAGGTATTGGTTTTCCTTTTTTATTTTATTTCATTTGTTCTGTTTGGTTTCCGAGAAAACTGAACCGAACTGCTGCGAACGGATTTACTTCATCTGGATTTGGATGTAACAGGTGCTGTCAGTACTCACAGCGCGGCGCTGTTGAGTTGAATTTCGCTGGTTTTGAGTTGCTTTGTGATTATTTTTTCTCGGCAACCAAACAGGAGGAATCGAAATTTGCTGTGATTAGTAAAGTATTTGTTAAAGTGAAGATAGAAATGACGTTTGTTGTTGATGTTGTGATTTGATTTTTTTGTTTCTATGCTAATTGTAGTTTCCCTCTCTTTTCCGCGTTTGAAAGGTTTTGGCGCTGTCGAATTTCTTTTGGTGAGGATTCTGATTACGGAAATTTCTTTTATTCATTCGGAGGAGAAGCGTCTCTCTCTCTCTCTCTCTCTCTCTCTCTCTCTCTTCCCTCTCCCTCGGTTGTTTCTTGAAATTTGTTGAAACTTTATTTTTAATTTTTTCTTCATTCTCTATGTAGTACTGTTTTACGTGTGACATGTGAATTGGAATGCTTATTCCAACTGATACAAAACAGAGACGGATCTCTTCCTATTGTTCTCGCTTTGTTTCTTTTGCAGTAGCATCACCACAATACCTTCTTCAGAGTCTGCTCACTTTCACCACAACGGCTTTACTCTTCACTGTGTTTCGTGTCACCAACAATGAAAGGCGGTATTCCCTGTATCCACTCCTTGTCAGGGAAGATCTGAAGCAGCGGTAGCTGCTCACGTCCTGTAATGGACGCGTACTCCTCTGGAGAAGAAGTGCTTGTAAAGGTAGTTTCTCGAGTAAGGAAGTTAATGAAGTTTGGTCTTGTGGTTTGAGTACTAAAAACCGGCTTTTGCAGACGAGAAAACCGTATACAATCACAAAGCAAAGGGAACGATGGACAGAGGAGGAGCATAATAGGTTTCTAGAAGCTTTGAAACTGCACGGGCGAGCATGGCAGCGCATAGAAGGTGATTGTCTGTTTATTATGTTTTGCTATCCTTCCTTTCGAAAGATTAGCGAAATATCATATTAGAAAATGGCATGAACCGATCTCCATATGTGATTTATTCTTAATTAGAACTTTCTTTTTCTTTCTTCCATGGCCTGCCCCCCTCTTGGTGTTTCACTTCTGCTATTCAGAGCATATAGGAACAAAGACTGCCGTTCAAATCAGGAGCCATGCACAGAAGTTTTTTACAAAGGTCAATGGGTACCTTCTCACTTTTGTTTATCTGCAACATCTCTTACTTTTCAATTGTATAGAACTCCTAAATCAGAAAAATCATAACTAAATTGACACTAGGACACCTCTAGACCTTGGGACTGATTTGAACACAGATCCACCACAACAGTCTTGATCAAACTGCTTTGCTTGATCTTGCAATAATCCAAAATAGACCCTAAGCAGATACATCCTTTAATTTGTGCCAACAAAATATTGTTCTCGTTTCTGTTCCGGAATGCCCTTCTCGGTATAAGGTGAAGAAGCTATATATTTGTAATATGTCCTATTAGGTTTTCCTTATATAGTAATGATTTTCTATCTTTTCCAGATTCTAAGTTCTTATCAAATATCTTATCATTATTTGTTATTTTTGAGATAACAATATTTTAATGATTATATAAAATGATGTTACTTAATTTATTTAACATAAAATTTTATATAATCATTAGATATTATAATTTTAGAGATAACGAATAATGATAAGATTTTACTGGCCAAGAAAAGGTAAGAAATCTTTACTTATATATTAAAGGAGAGAGAAACTTAATAAGGCAGATTACAAATGCATATACTTAACTGCTATGATATAGCTTCTTCCTTCACCTTATATTGAGAGGTCATTCCGGAACAATTTCATACTAAATCAAAATATGTTCATCTTTAATATTGTATCAATGAAAGTCTGTACCCTTTGGCTAGGCAATCTTTTTCTCCCTCTGTTGCTTAATTCATAAAACTGTAAGGTAGTCGCAGGATTCCATCAACAATTGGGTTTATTTGTCAAAATGATCTAGTATATGTATATATGTTAGGCAGTACCTTGGGTTGGGCTTTTCTGGTTGAGCTGAATTGGAGTTAAAAAGGAAGGTGTTAGTGAACATGTTATGCATCTGACATCATTTAGAGGAGAAGATTTTAAACATTGCCTCACCTAACGTGAGATTTTAAAAGAAATGGGTCTTGTCTTGATGTTTCAACAGCAATGTATGTAAGTAAAAACCGAATGTCACCATTTGTGATTGTAGAGTTAAATATGTTCTTGATTTCATGAGTGAATTTTAATTTTAGTCTCTAAAAGATTTTTCTTTGATTTTCATCCGTTTAAAATAATTGTTTCTGGTTATGATAAGATAACCAAGTTTTATTTTTTATACCTTGAAAATTTGTTATCATTGTTTTAATTAAGATAAAAAAGTAACATTTATTTTGCGGCTCAGTTTTTTTTTTTTTTTAAATCACTTTTCGTATAACACCATATAATATATAATGCATTATTGGGTATCACTTCTGATGGTTAAATGATGTTAACCACAAACAGTTAATCCATATCATATGAGAAAAGCAACCAAAAGTATTGATTTTAGATTGTAGAGTGACGAAAAACTTTTCTAGGAATGAAAACCGACATTTACTTGACCAAAACATATCTTTTCCTAAAATATAAACCATTTATGCATCACTTAAATAGTTTAAGGCTTTAGGATAGTTGGTTCATGGCATGATAATTGAACCTCTGAAACCAAATAGTCTAGAGTTCAGTTCTTAACACCCGTATTTATTTTTTTACCTTTTAAGTATTTTATTAATTATTAGTCATTAATCGTAAAAAGAATAGTACGTAAAAGTTGTATATCTATTCTCTTTATTTTTGAAAAACATTTTCTTTCTCATTTATATTATTTGTTGTGAAGATAATGACATTTATTCCTATTTTTGGACAAATATATCATTCCTTTTTATATTCTTCATTGTGGAGAACATATATTTATCCCTGTTATAATTTTTTTTCTTGTCATTGTTTGTGAAACTTCAACGTGCTTCTAACTTAACTTCAAGTGCACGGTCTAGACACCTTGATTACGTTTGATAGAAAGTAAAGGGACTAAAAACACATTTCTCCATTCTAATGATTACAAACCATGCCTAAGATATTGCTTAAGGCTATAACAAAATTTGTGTAAATGACAAATTAGACTTGGAGACTCTCCTAAGTTTTAACTTCCTTTGTGAAATCACTATGAATAAGACATTCTTAATATCATGTTAATATAAAAGGCCAGAGGTGAATGACAACTTTGGACAAAAACAATTTGATGGGGGTCATTTTAGCCATAAAAAAGTATCACCTACCTAGTCTAAGTCTTGTGTTTGGTCATTGGCTACTTGATCATTGGCAACTAGACATGCCTGTAGCCGGTTAACTTGACTGTCATGACCAAGCTTCATGGTAAAAATATAGCGACAATGAACAATAGACTTGCCTAGTGGAGAAGAATGGGGTCTCAAGTGAGTGTCCTTACTCTAAAGGATACATTTTATCAATCATGGCTTGTCAGAATCCACGTTAACAAAGAGAAGATAACGAAGCAAGCGTAAGACAATAGCAACAAGAAAGCCTTACACCATCAACTGAGGTTGGTTATATGGATTACATGCCGCCATGCGACATGTTTCAGAAATAAGTGTAATACAAGAGAGGACCATTACCTATCTGATGTGATTATATGATTACATGGCCCCATATTCGACATGATTCTTAACATGGCATTAGAGGTTCTATAACCATGTGGTTGGGAAGGTATATGGACTTGTTCATTATCCATGCATCATACCTGAAAGGATCTTGTGTGAGGGTCATGTTAGTTATGTGAAACTAAAGTTCATTCATATCCTTGACCTAATAATTTAGGTTTTGGGGATAATTGGTTCTTCTGAACGATGGCCCAAAAAAGTGAGATATGCATGTGCTGTGGTGAAGAAGCATGGTAACCTACAAGCACTTATAACAATACTTGCAGAGTTTGATTCAGTCATAAAGCAAGATAGAGTTATGTTTGGTATTTCCTTGGATTAGGATTTTTGGGTTCTTGTGTTTTCCTGTTTAGTGTTCACTTTATTATTAAGGTAAACTATATTTCTATTGACTCACACTTGGCATCTTTAGGGCTTCCTGATAATTTGTGGCAACTTGCAATACCATCAATTAGAGGTTGAATAGAGATTGGTCATCGGTGATCAATATACTCTCGCTGCTTTATCTATTTGTTGAAATGTATATTACCCTTAATCAAACTCAGTTCTAAAACATTTGAGAAAATTTCATCAGACTGTTTGTAATTATAGGAACTTTGTCTTTATCGAAAGAATACCATTTAGTAAGATGTTGTAAGAGAGTGAGCCTTGCACAATGGTATTGGTGACTCATTAGTCATGGGTTTGAATCCAGAAGCATTCTCCTTGCATAAATGTTAGGGGAAGGCTGCATACAATTGCCCTCCCCTATTCCTTCTCGAAGCGAGGAACATCCAACATTGGAGTATGCTAGTTTAGTATAATATTTTCAGATTTGATCACAAAATTCAAAATGTAGATTGCAGATTCCAGAGGTAAATGGTATAGAGCGTTTAGACAAGTCATATTTAGGGAAATGGCTTAGTGATGGACTATAAAGGGACAATGAGTTCAAAAATTTGAGGGTGGGGGGAAGATGGTGCTTGATTGTCCATGGTTTGTCAATTACATCATTGTTGCTGTTTAGAAAGCTATGTGAGTGTACAGATAAAATTTTCTCTTTACTTTGAGGTGGATGGCAAGAGCTATATCTGGTTGATGAAGTTTGAGTGAGTCATTCAAGTCTCTATATTTGAAGTTCAGATCTTTTCTTTCTATAAGCGCAGATAGTTGTTTTCTATTTCGGGAGTCCATTGTGTTATGAATTTCATTGGAAAGAAAAATGATGGGTTAGTTACTGAGCAATATTAGGCTTCATGAGAACTATGAGAAGTTTGAAGCTTCCTGTTTGGCTGCATCTATTACTTGCTGGTGAGAGAACAATCAATTTCTATATGAAGAGTTGAAGAATGTATGAAGGAGCATTGAGGATTTAAAGTTTATAGATTTTATTATTTGGCATTTTAAGTGGTGGAACAAACAAATTCAATGTTGTGATGGATCATATCTGGTATATAGCTTAGAAGGACTATCTAGCATTGTTTTCGTTGCTTAATCATATACCTAAAATCTTCTGTTTCAGTTTTTCAATTCTCTTGATAATTTAGTACACTTTTTCTTTAAGTGAATTTTTTATTAGGATATAAGTTCTGTATAAAGATAAAATTTCTGTGTTTTAAAGTAAACATTTTTTTCCATTTGTTTCTGAAACAATTTACGATATGTTTGTTTCCTAAGAATTAATCCAATATTTTCTTCTATTTACTGAATCGTTCCCAGTTTTGTGTCTTCGTCTTCTATGAATGCTTACGTGTCAAAATTTCTATTTTACATGTTCCCGTTAAATAAATATATATTTATAATGGGAAATAATATAAAACTTTTAACTCAAGTTGTTACTTCAACAACAGTGGTGCTGCCTCTATTTATTTACCACCCAAGTTGACTTTCTGAGAATAAGAAAATAACGAGGGGCGAATGTCTTATGTTTGCTATATTAGTTTAGGGGAAGTTAGGTAGGTGGATTGATTCACCATAGCATGGGTGCAGTACCCATTTTGGGAGCTTGGAAGTTTCAAGACAGTAAATTGTTTGATACTGGAAGATACCTATCTTAGTGGAATTGAATTTTTAATCATGGATCATGGGAGTAACATCCAGATACATTAGATTCATTAAAACAATTATTGCCTTCGAAATTAATAAGGATTCTTGAAGGACTTGATGATTTTAAGGACATTAGGATTGTTAGGTAAGTTATCATATTGATCTATATATAGGAAAGTTAATCCTTCAAAAGAAAGGTGGCTGGAATTCCAGCTATAGGATGCTGGCATGAGTTTCCATACAGAAAGATAGGACAACATCTATCTTACTGTCTGCAATCTTAGTGCTAAGTGAATCAATTTATTGAAATATTAATATTCCTAATGCTAATTTGTAGAAGAGCTTAATGTCTATATATTTTGAGTACTAAGTTAAATATAATTGCTTATTATTAGTTCAAAGATGGAAAATAAATGTGTAAATGCTCTATATCCCTCTCTCCCTTGGAAAAGAATTTGCACTTTTCAATGATGGGGGCTGGTTTGGCCAGGTAATCAGTTTGATTATCTTGGTCAAACCAGCCCCTTTTTTTTATTTATTTACCCGTGCTTTATTTTTGTGAACATTTAACTGTGCTAGTATCACATAGAATAGAACTTCTTCTCAAAGCTATGACTACTAGACTAGCAGAGAAAGCGTTCAGTTCACCCTTACAACTCAAAATGCGTGCTATTGAGTTTAGGGGCCGACGTAAACATTTTAAAACTTCCCCTATAGTCATAAATGCTACTATTCACGCCTGATCTTTCATGGAGTTTAAACAGAGTTTAGTAGACGTTCTTACAATATGAGCTCAAACCCGAGAAATAAAACCAGAATTTGAATGCTTACATTTGGGGTCCAAGAATTAACGGAACCAAGCTTTGACATCGTGTTTAACTTGACCATTATACAGCTCAAAGGAAAGCCTACCGTAGGATAATGATCTCTGATTGATATGAAATATTTCTGAATAAAACATGTTTTTATACAGAAGTGATAAATGGAAAAAGAGGATTTTATATCCTGAAAAATGTGCAAACATATAGAATATAATTGAATATGCACACACACACACACACACATTTTAATAGAAAGGGAAGAACAGATTGAAGTTGACCAGTATGTGTATTTGAATGCCCAATAAAACAGGTCTATAAATAAAGTTTTTTGTCCCTAATCTGAAATCTATAAATTTCTTTCAAACAGAGAAACTTCTTGAAATGCATTGATGTATATTTCTCTTGGATGGCCGAAAGAACCAATTCAAGGCTTAAACATATTATAATAGACTGTTGCTTTCACATATAACATATCTATCTGTCTTCTGGTTGTTATAGTGGATGATCACCACAGAAACCAGAGTGATCAGTTTAATTGTGATAGGCAGAGACCATTAATGTGCATAATTTTCCTGTTATATGGTATGTGAGAAACACAGCCTCTTTCGTTAGCCAATTCAAGTCTAATCTTTATACTTTAAAATAAATAAATAAAGTGCATTAGATTTTATTTTATGTATTAGAATTAATGAAGTAGGCCTAACTGAATTAGTGCGGATTACTTCAGTCATTTATGAAGAATACTCGTCTTTGACCATTACCTAACTGATGTGGATCTTGAGTCTTAAAACACCCTTCATGTTTTTGCGATAGGACATCTGGAACGTTGATTTTACAGGATTTTGGTGATATTTTGTAGTGGTTTAAGGATCGCCAAGGCTCTAATTACTCTGGAGCTCTAACTGCCATCATAATAGAAAATAACTAATTTCTTTGACAATGGAAGATTTAAGCTAAACTTGTCGAAATCCGTTAGCAGTGCTGACTTCCGTAAATTTTTGGGAACTGTTACCACCATGTAGTTTCATAGAGCTATGTTTTTGCAATGCCGATAGCTTCGGACATGTTTGAAGTCTATTACGAACCAGTGATGTTGATATACATCTTTTTATTTAAACTACAATCAGTTTCCTGCCCATCAAATCCATATGCTTCTTGATTTACAACTACGGCTGATTTTTTCTCCTCAACTTCATTTCTGGTTGTTTTCTTTTCTAAGCTTTCGTGCTGGAATATACTGATGTGTTTCAGCTATTTATATTTTCCAACGAGTATTTTGGAAATTCTGCTTTAGAACAAACGCTACAATACTCCATTAAGTGCTTTTAATGGTTTTTATGATACTTTCACTTGCTGAGAATACCATTTGGACTTTTACTTCCAGTTGGAGAAAGAGGCCCTTGTAAAGGGTGTTCCAATTGGACAAGCTCTTCATATCGATATTCCCCCTCCACGGCCTAAAAGAAAACCAAGCAATCCTTATCCTCGAAAGACCAGGATTGGTACCGCAACATTACATAGTGGAGCAAAGGATGGAAAACTCAATTTAGTTGAATCTTCACATGTCAACCAAGCACTGGACTTGGAAAAAGAACCACTTCCGGAGGTTTTTATATTATATATTTTTCATTTTTTTTATTGGTTTTCATTTCAGTTTCCTTCGTCAGTAACATAATTCATCCTTTTCCTTGTTTTATTAGAAATATGATTTAGACGAAGGGCCAACAAAATCAAAGGAGAATAAGAATGAGAACTGCTCAGAATTATTTACAGTTGTCCAGGAGGTACCCTGTTCCTCTATATCTTCAGCAAACAAAAGTTCAATATCAATGGCAGTGCCGCTGGGACATTCATGCGCCTTTAAAGGGATTACAACTTCAGTGAAAGAGGTAATAGCTCGTGATGAAAAAACTGAATCATTTGTGACTGTTGAACTTGAAAATGGGAATTTGGAGATCAATGATGGAAAACAGACTAAAGGCACTAGTAAAAACTCCACGTTAGAGAATTTTGATGCTTTACAAATGAACTTGGTTCAAAATGAGAAAGCAGATGGTCTCGATTGTGCATTAACAGTGGATGGGATGCAAGGCAATCAGAATTACCCTAGACATGTTACTGTGCACGTTGTTGACGGGAACCTTGGAACAAGTACTCAAAATCCATCACAAGATATGTTGTTTCGAGACTCCATGTTTCAGCCAATAGGAGGGGTTAATGGGCAACCAAATCTTTTCACCAATTCAGCTCCATCGAACACAAGTGAAAGTCAAAATAACACTGCACGATCTTCTGTTCATCAATCATTTCCTCCTTATCCTCCCTTCACACAGCACAACCAAGATGATTACCAATCCTTTCTTCATATGTCTTCCACATTTTCGAATCTTATTGTCTCTACCTTGGTGCAAAACCCGGCAGCCCATGCTGCAGCAAGTTTTGCTGCTACATTTTGGCCCTATGCAAATCCAGAACCTTCTGCAGATTCTCCTAGGTGCTCCCAAGGAGGTTTTACATCTAGACAAATCGGTAGCCCTCCAAGCGTTGCAGCTATTGCAGCTGCTACTGTAGCTGCTGCAACAGCATGGTGGGCAGCTCATGGATTGCTTCCTTTGTGTGCTCCTCTTCATACTGCTTTTGCCTGTCCTCCTGCATCGGTGACGGCAGTCCCATCAATGAATACTGCTGAAGCACCAGCTCTAAAGGCGGAGCAAGAAAAGAGTACTCTACAAAATCCTCCTATGCAAGATGAGATTATGCTTCCAGAATACTCGGAAGCTCCACAAGCTCAACATTCAGCTTTAAAGTCACCAGCTGCCATTTCATCAGATTCTGAGAGTGGAGATGCCAAGTTAAATACTTCACCAAAGGCTACAGATCATGAGACGAACCAAAAAATTTCTGAGCACCTTGATTCCAACAAAACGAAAGGTAGAAAACAGGTTGACCGTTCCTCGTGTGGTTCCAACACAGCCTCAAGCAGCGATGTGGAAACTGATGCACTAGGGAAGGATGAGAAAGAGAAGGAAGAGCCTGAAACACCTGATGCTAACCATTTAGCCATTGAGTTTAGTAATCGTCGTAGAAGCATTTGCAACCTTACTGATTCTTGGAAAGAGGTCTCTGAAGAGGTATCCCAGTTACCTTAATGAAATCTTAATACAATACTTATGTGTTGCTTCTCTTCTCATGCTACTTGTTTTCAGGGGAGACTAGCCTTTCAGGCTCTATTCTCCAGAGAGGTGTTGCCTCAAAGCTTTTCACCTCCTCATGCTTTGAAGAACAAGGATCACCAAATGAACATCATCAATGATAACAAGCAAAACATATATGACAAAAATGAAGACCTTGACAGCAAGAAATGCAGTTCTAATTGTAAAGCAATGCCGAAAAACCCGCCATTTGTAGAAGAAAATAACGAGGGACTGTTAACCATAGGGCTTGGACAAGGAAAGCTTAAGACTCGTCGAACAGGCTTCAAACCCTACAAAAGATGTTCCGTGGAGGCCAAGGAAAATAGGGTTGGAGCGACCAATCAAGGTGAAGAAAAAGGTTGTAAGAGAATACGTTTGGAAGGGGAGACTTCTACTTGAGGTTTGATACATGCATGCAATAACATAAAGGCAACCTTTGGTTTTTGCATATAATTTCTTAATCCCCCTCAGCGTTGTACCTATAGTGTTTATTTCAAATTCTCACGAAACTTGTCGTGTAGATAGATGTGTGTACCATATTAAATTACTGTGTACGCTCTTTTACTATCTTGGACTGGTGTTAGTGCTGTTAAAAACTCCGCTAAATAGACTTTAGATAAGACACATTAAGTATTGTTTGAGCCTGAAGATTAAGTAATTTATGATCCTTCATTCAGCCACTTTCCACGTTTTACTTGTAATTGTTTTGCATTTGTTTATGAACTATTTTTTCTTTAACGTGGTGGATGCATTACGTTGAATGTGACACAAATGATTTTCTTTTATCCATTTTATGCTTCGAAATTTGTTTGCCTGCTTAAAGGAGTTATGTCACTAAATTCTCAATCTTAAATTTCTAGATTAATTTCCCCTCTTTTATCAGTATAGATCCCAATAATTTTTCATCAAATTCAATGTTGAAATAAAAATCAGTGATATTGAAATAATAAATTTAAATTGTTGTGAGCGTGTTTATTATTTCCACTACCACAGGCCTTTGGCCAAAGGAACAATTTCTTCCTTGTACATTTTGTACGTTAAGAAACCAAATTTAAATCATGACAATTTTCATCAAAAAAATAAAAAAATAACAAGCAGTCGTCGATATTTCAAAGTTGAAGACAGCTTTTACTTGCAACCCTAGGCAATTGAATATTCCTGCTACATGCAAACCAGAATTGCTAGAAAAACAGGAAATTTTTTCTAAGGGAGTAAAATTCAAATATAGCTTTTTCCCATCAAAATTTCAACTTATTAATCGTAGTGGTTTCAAAATTCTATAGGACTTGTGAGCTATACACAATATTTACGAATTCCCATGTCAAAGAATTATTATATACATAAATTCAGGCAGAAAATGCAAGTCCACTTTACAAGACCATGATAGTATAGACAATACGGTATCTAGTCCGCACTCATCATTGGTAGTCAACAATTATGTCAGCAACTAATTGCTTCACCGGTTCCAAAAATAGTGATGCAAATTTGAAAGAGAGAGTGGTTTCTTTGAAGAGGACTCTGATGAAGATTTCTTACGAGACTGCAATCTGCGGATGTATTGTAAGATTCTCTCTTTATTAGTGGCAAAAAGTGAAAATGGTGGGTTCAGTGGAAGGTTCTCTGCTTCTCTCAACAAAAATGAAAGTAGCAGTATCGCCTTTGAGTAAGATGCAGTAGCCTTATCTCTGTTTTCCATATATTCATCTACCTAGAAAAATGGCAAAAAAAAAAAAAAAAAGAACCTACTTTGAGGAAGGTTATAAGTTTTGAAGAAAATTTAAAAGTGAACAATATAAGGCCTACTTACAGCACCACTAGTCCCGATTGACAGAGCCTTTTGGAATATAATTTCCATTGCATCAGGCATTATAGCAGTCTCTGCAATATTTTCTGCAATATTTTGGTGTACATAGTTAATACAAATTCTTTAGACTATATGAAAGGATTTTGAGTTCAGAAACATAAAGAAGTCCTACCATCCATATTTTGAATACGACATGATAATTTCTCAGCACGATCAACAGCAACAACAAACTCATATTTTGCCCACATGGCGACAGATGGAGGATCACTAAAATTTATTTTCTGTCCTGTATTTTGTGATATATCCACATCAATTGAAGATATGGATTCATTAACTGAACTGCTTTCAGGCAACTCACTCTTATCAAGGGAGACTAGCCAAGAGTTACAAATTTCTAGTGCCTTTTTCCATATAGCCAAAACCACCAACTCAACTGCAAGTGACTCCAGATACAGTCCTGTATTACACTGCACCAAATAACCTTTAAACTTAACTTAAAAATGAGAAGGTGAAACAGATCGAAAGATGCATCTGGCCTGATTATTGCACATATTTTTATCATAAAAGAGATTTGACATAACCCCTGAAATTAACATGTTATGATAGAAAATACAAATCCAACAGTAGTATACTAAAGGTCTGTTTATACCAACCTTTTCGTATGAATTACTAAGGAAGAAAAAATGAAATTGACTTCTCCATAAACTAAAATTTGCTTATGCACAAGTTAAAAATGAAAATTTTGAGACACCGTGCTACAAATTAGTCTATGCATAAACTAATTTTAACTTTTGGAGAAACTAATTTCTTTTTTATTTTCTCTTCTGGAAGTCCTTATGTAAAAGTTCATCCAAACATATCATAAGAAGTATTCAACCACTAGCAAGCTACAACAAACAATAGAATTCAATAGGGAAATTAAGATTTAATTATGCAAAAGAATTCATTCAAACATGGCTAGTTTATCATTCTGGTGTGCGATGCAACATAGAATAAAACATCCATATAATAGAGAAAAGAACTGAACAAAATTCAAAGGAACATAAACCTCTGGTTAAACGGAATCATGCAATCATGAGAACAACATCATCAACAAAAAAAATATTTTTTCATTTAATTTTAAACTATTCTATAAAATATTAATATAATGACCTTTGGATTACTGAACACAAACTCACCTTTTCTTGTGAAAGTTCTTCAAGGATCTTCACATAATGATGCAACAACACTAACCTGTTTGAAAGGTGTAGTGAGGAAATGTCATGCTCTTTCGTTAAAGCAGTAAATTCAGAGGATGCCACACATGCCTCAAGTTTATTGTTCTTTAAATTCTCTAATCCTTCAGTGGAGGAAGAGGAAAGATTCTTTGTTTGTTTCACAACTCCAATCTCCAGATTAGTCCACTTCGAAGGAATGAGAGAAATCCTGCCTGAGGAATTATCTTCCACAGATGCCTCAAAGTAGTCAGAAAAAGTCTCCAATGATGCAAAATGGGAATTGACAAGGACATAATCTTTCTCGATAGACTGCATTAAAGGGGAAACTGAATAGAAAAAAAAGGATTAGAAATTGTAAAGAAAACAACATATGAGAACAATGCAAAAATTAGAATACAGTGTCCAGGAACTATTCGTGCCAGCTGTAATTTTACCATCCTTTCTTTGCAACAACATGCTTTCAGTGGCATCTACAATTTGATACATAGACTGTGATTGAGACATCTCGGAGACAGAGCCACCTGATTGATGTAAATGAAACTGCTTAACATTCCCTGTTGACCTATAAGTTATGAATGACAAGAAATCACTAAAAGTAGTTATGACATTGAAAGAAAATGTAACAGGAATACAACAACTGAATAAAAAAAATTAAATAATTATGACCTGGGTTTCTGAAGGAAATTGTGATTGAAGAATGCCTTGAATGTTAATCTCTCATCTGCATATTACAGTATAACTTTACAAAAGGTTTTTATAATGAGCTCTAACTGTTATTAAAAATATATGTATATGATAATTTCAATCTCAGACTCACTCCCTTTACACATTTACAAAACAAAACAGAAGAATAAAAATGCATAAATGTCCATGACATGATGTTACAATGAATACCTGGATTTTGACGTAAAAGATTTCTGCAAAGATCCAAGCAATCAGAATGTAGCTCTTCTAAGGCCTCTGGCGGAAAGTACAATTCAGTGGATTCTAAAATATTTCGAAAAAGCTGCAACCAAAAATATTGGTAAGGGAAAAGAGAGATATCTAACTATTTAACAAAAAAAAAAGGATATATAATTATCATTTTCTCTAGTTAAAATTAAAAAAATATTAATTGTTTGGCATCTTCAAAACCTGATATTGAGTAGTTCCGTTAAATGGTAGCTTCCCAATTACTAGTTGATACAATATTGCTCCAACACTCCATAAATCAGCCTGCACCCATTATATGATTCGTACTTTTACAGAAGAAAACAAGTACAGATATCAGTAATTACAGTTTGATCTCAGTTCTATATTTTCTGACCTTGGCATCATACTTTTGATTTTCAATAATCTCTGGAGCCATGTAATAGGGTGAACCACATAGTGTATCAGCCAATCCCTGGGGTGTGAGAGACCTAGAACAACAATACATCAGGAAACTACGACTTGCAAGAAATTCATAAGTTTTTTTCTTGTTACCTTATTGTTTCGACGAGATAAAAAGAGATTATATAGAGCTAATAAAGCATCTAGAAGCAAATACATTGTTTACAAAGATGGCCTAGGCTCAAGTAAATCAATTTATTAATGACTACAACAATCAACTATATTCCCCAATGATCAATAAATAAAACATCCCTCAAAAAAGGAAAAAAGGAGCAAGTAACATGTCATTCCAGCTTATAACAGCAATTAAGGGGAAACTTTTGGTTGCATTGTTTAACATCCTGAGAAACCACCATACCTTGCAAAACCAAAATCTCCAATTTTCATAATTGGCATAGCTTCAGTAGTTGTCAGTAGTAAATTCTGCGTTTTGAGGAGAAAAGAATCAAAGACATGATAAATGAAGTTGTTATTTATATGGATTTATGATTTATAGCAGATTACATACTGATATATCATTTATAAACCAAGTGGTTTCACAAATTTCAAAAGTAGTCCCTCCTTTACTTGCATTTACTCTTGTCTATGTATGCTATTTACTTAGATGCACTTTTGTCGATAGGTATGAACCTTTGATAACTTGACGACTCTATGTAAAAATAATGTAAAAGCTCATGGGTAAAACAACAGAGTTTGCCAACAAGCTACTGCAATCATTAGTTGTGACAATAAATTAAAATACGTCAAGACAAGGCATACATATATCAGTAAGTACAATGAAAATTTTATAACATAACAAAATACACTGAGATACCTCTGGTTTTAAATCTCTGTGAATGAGATTCTTCTCTTGAAGCACCAGTAACCCGGCAGCTACAAGAACACCCACATTATAAATGATAGAAATTTACACATTGCATACCAGTCAATGAATAGCACAGCAGATGAGGAAACACAGTACCATGTTTTGTACAAGCAAAACTATCCCACCATTAAGAAAGTACAAAAGAATTAGAAAAACAACCTAATTTAATAAATAAACATGAAATAATCTATAGTAACATATGTTACAAAAGAATTGACAAACAGTCAAAATAGTCAACTCCGAGAGATAAAAATTGACAAAAAATGTTCGTGAAATATAGGATTCACTTGTAGCAAACACCAAATGATTGAATCCATTCACTAACCCAATTGCCTCATGAAATGGCGTGCAACAGTTTCAGAAACTTTGTCATGGCGCTGGATGTATGTAGCAAGGTCCCCACCAGCACAATACTCCAAAACAAGGTAAATCCTGTCATCGGTCTTTAACCACAAAGATAATTTACACGTTAAGTCTACTGTCAAATCAAGCATAATAACAACAAAATCATCATTTCTTGGTTTTATACCGTCCTTTAAATTGGAGATAATATATTATATTGATACTGTACAAATCAAAAGGATAAATCCATAGATTTTATCAATGATTAAAAAAAAAAATCATTTTTTTTACCGTGAATGTCCTATTTTAGAAATAATTATATTTTAAGCACTCTCATCAACATCTACCCTCCATTTGATAGAAGGTTTGTCAGTACACAATTGTCAATTAACAAAAAAAAAATAAAAAAAACAGAGCTTACTTCAATTGTTTCTATGAGTCTAATGATGTTGGGATGCTGGATGGTGCTAAGGATAGAGATCTCTTTGAGAAGATTTTCCCTAATTTTGGGATTGAGTTGTCTAATCTCAATCTCCTTAATCGCAACCTCTAAACCTGAAACTCTATTTCTTGATCGCCACACCACTGCAAACGAACCGCATCCAATCAGAGGACCCACTATGTAATCCCCTATCACCCTGCAATCTATATTTATCATCGCCACCACCTTACCAATTTTTACAAAGACTTCAACTTCCCAACCACAAAGACTTCAACTTCCAATAGCTAAAGTTAAAGGGTACAGTGAGAGTGTTAATTCTCTTTCTGTATTTATATCCTCCCTCCTTCAAAAATATATATTTTTTTTCATTTATTTGATTTAATATGGAGTTTGGAATATATTTTGTTATCCAATTCTAAATTTTTATTTTGTTTCTGTTTTCTAAGTTGGTTGATATTTCGAGAAAGAATTTCGAAAATCTTTTTACATAAATTATTAACTTTTTAATATATTAAATTAATTGAAAAGTAAAATAACGTTACCAAATTTTGAAAACTCCGTAGTTTTATAAATTATTTAATATCTTCAGAAACTTAAATTAAAATATAAAATAATATTGTAATCTTTTTTCATATATTTTCATTCCAAAACATAAGTTATTTTAATATATATATATATATATATATATAAATTATTTTATACAATTAAATATTTTATATAAATTATTTTTTTACTGTCAAGGAATAAATAAATGGAATCTGACTCTCCAAAACTGTCATTTACTTGCAATGTTCTTGAATGTACGAATGTTTGATAAGTTGCAACCTCAGTAAAATTTCATACATTTGTTATTTCATATGTATTTTTATTATGAGGCATTTAAATATATTAAAAAGTTGAGAAGTTAAAATAAATTGTAAAACAATATTATATATTTTTTATAATCTTATAATATTTTTTTATATGTGAACTATTTTTCTTAAACTAACACTTACCCACATGCATAAAGAAACTTAATGAGAATGAAAATTCTGTGTATATGTTATGATGAAGAATATTAGTATTTAATTAAAGATAAAATAAGATATTAAAAAAATATTTACATTTTTTATAAATTTAATAAATTAATCCTTTTAATACATATATTTTAAAATATAAATTATTTTATAAAATTAAGCTTGCATTATATTTTTTAAAATTACCTTAGTCATACATTAATTTTAGTTTTAACGAATATTCTGTGTGTGGTGTATTTACTAATTTCTCATTGATAACGTTAGATAAGATAACGATTATATTAGATGCTTAAATATGCATATATATATATATATATATATATATATATATATATATATATATATAAAAGAACAGTATTAATGCTTAATTAGAAATTAAAATGATATATGAAGTAAATGATAAATACTTTTTATAAAATTCAATAAATTAATCATTCATTTAAAAATACTATAATGAACTTTAATAAGTAATTATAATATATATATATATATATATATATATATTATAAATTTATAATATTTAAAAAAAATGATTGATATAAGTTAGAATAACTGTCTTATTTTTTATTTTTTTTTATACTTACATATAACTTATAAATTTAGTTAAAATAATTCAATTAGTCCTATATGTGTTTCACTTTTTGTGTCACTAATCAAAATTCAACATGTTATTTGAAATAAAACTTGTGATTTGAGATTATTATTTTGTATTTAATATATAATAGTATTTTATAATTTATTATTATAATTTAAAGAATATATTGAATTTATTTGCAATTAAATAATTTTATTTACCCTTTAAAGACTTACTTTACTATCATTCAAATTTTAGTTGTATTATTTTTTTATAAATTCATTACAAAATTAAAGATTATTTATTATATTTTGTTGGGGAAACATAAACCTATGAATACTATTTAAGAAATTATCATTTTGAATTTTAATACACAGTAACAACATATTCTTCTCCACTTTCTTTACATTTTTTTCTAAATTATAAAACATCTTCTTTACTAATTAGAATCATGTAAAAACCAAATATCTTTTAATAAATATTATTTATTATTATAATGAATAGTATAATATATTTTAATTTAATATATATAGTATCCAAATAATTAACCTTCTAAAATAGTTAATTATGAAAATATCTCATAAATATAACCTAAAATATTATCATTTACTTGAAAATCTGCGTAAGAAACACAATTGAATGTGAATAATTGTGAGAAAAATTCAGACTTAATATTTACAGGAAATATAAGAATATAAAGAAGAATTAGAGTTAAAGTTAAAGAAGATGAGGAAAGAAATGGTCAAGGGAGATAATTTGTGAGCAACAACGATATATTTTGATAATATAATAAATAAGATTTTCAAATTATAGTTTATATTTTTCAACATTATTAAACTTGTTTCCTTTGTCAAGGCTTACTAGGGAACATGTAAATGTATTATTTTCAAAACTTAATATTGGATTAAAACAAAAATACATTACAACCTTCAATAAATTCAAATATAATGAATTTGAATAACTTTTATATAAAATTGTTTAATTTTTAAAAATATTTATTTCATTAAAATTAATTAAATTTTAATGTTATTATCTATAATTTTTATTTATCTTCTGCTTAGTTTGGTTTGAATTTTTTATGCGAATGAAAATAAGTTGGTCTCATCTGACTTTTGATCAATGTATCTTCTTCAATGAGATAGGTTTCTATTTCATTTTAGTATTGAAAATTAATTTTTCATTGCTTGATGATATAAATAACGTGTTATACGACATTTGACAAAGTCATATGCCTCTGTTTTATTGGTTACATATTAAAATTAACAAAGATAAGTTACAAATCTACCTAGAAATTATGATGGAAGTTGTATAATTAAATCCGTACTCATGGGATCGATCTGTCCCCGCCCTCGAGTTTGTCGGAGAAAATTCGAGTTGACCGGGGGCGGGACGGGTTCGGGTTTCCCCGCTTTAAAAAGTCGGGGGCGGGAGCGGAGACGGGTAATGCAATCCCCACCCCGACCCCGTCCCCGCCCCGACTTTATATTTAAATTTAAATTTTAAAATATTAATATTTTAAAAGTATTTCATTTTCTTTTTCTATTTATATTTCACCAATTTTTATTTTTCTTCTACCCAATTTTTATTTTTTTTTATCTTTTTTAATTTTTTATATCAATTAATTTATTACATTATTATTTCCTTTACCTTTCATGTTAGAAAAGTAGTTTTAAATCAAGAGGGGGGTGAATTGATTTTTGAAAGTTTTTCGCAATACACAGATTATCTAATCCGAAAATTAAGTTTACTAATCAATTCACGAATCACAAAGCAATTAAACAATACAAGCGCAACAACTGAATTTAAAGAGAGAAAGGTTAGGAAAGATTTCACCGGTAATTTTATACTTGGTCCACCCAATACCAGGCTACGTCCAGTCTCCAGCCAAATTCCAGCTGGGTTCCACTAGAATAGATGTTTTACGGACTCAACAATCTTACACCTACTCTAACACCGGAACCAATTTCCAGTTCCGACTTTAACCTTTCCACCAAGAACCAAATTCCAGTTCTTGGAAACCTTCGCAACCAAATTCCAGCATGCAGAGAAACCAGGTACCCAAATTCCAGGCACCACACAAGTACAAGAACCAAATTCCAGTTCCGCACTTAACCTCTCCACCAAGAACCAAATTCCAGCTCTTGATAACCTCTGCAACCAAATTCCAGCTTGAGAGAAACCAAGTGCCCAAATTCCAGGCACCAAACAAGTACAAGAACCAAATTCCAGTTCCTGTACTCAACCTCTCCACCAAGAACCAAATTCCAGTTCTTGGAAACTTCTACAACCACCTACCAGACTACGAGAAAAACTTGTACCCAAATTCCAGTGTACAACACAATACAAAGTAATGAAAAAGAATTTACAAAGAAGAGACTTAGAAAGCTCAAACCGGATTACTCTAATCCACAGTAAGTTTCTTCTTCACGAATGCAATATGCCTCAAGAAAGATTTCAAAAAGAACTTCACAAAACAAGTTGTAATTCTTTCTTGGAAAAAGGATGCTAACAGTTGCTTGAATTGATTGCTTTGGATGTGTAAAAGCTGATGTTCAATCTCTCGTTTAAAAATTTCAAGCAAAACTATTTTTAAAGAGAATTTTCAAATCTGCTGCATTAATTAATCTGTTGAAAGTTTGTTTTAATCTGTTGAAATAGCCGCTATAATCTGTTAAAAGTCCTTTCAACCCATTAATGCGTTTTTGTTTCTTTAACGGAATGGTTTTAGTTGATACAACCATGTTTATATCAGTTAAAACATTTTACAAACTTTTTCTAAGTATAAAACAATCGATTGAATCACGTATTAATCGATTGATTTGTTTAAAAATCTTCTTATAAAACTTTCCAAGTTATTTTAGCTGATACAAAGAAGTTTTAATCGATTAAAAACCTGCACAGAATTTTTCTAAGTTGTTTTAATCGGTTGAAACGCGTTTTAATCGATTGAAACTCTGTACAAAGATTTTCCAAGTTATTTTAATCGATTGAAATGCGTTTTAATCGATTGAAACTCTGTACAAAAATTTTCAAGTCATTTTAATCGATTGAAATTTGTTTTAATCGATTGAAATAAGTCTGATCGGTCATAATTCAATTCTGATCGATCATAACCAACTCTGATCGGTCATAATTTCATTCTGATCGATCATCCTGACTTCCAAAGTGGTTTTAATCGATTGAAACGTGTTTTAATCGATTAAAATAAATCTGATCGCTCATTTTTAAAGTCTAATCGATTATATTTGATTCTGACCTGTCATATTCGAATTCTAATCGGTCATAAAGGGTTTTAATCGATTAAAAGAAGTTTGTATCGATTAAAATACTGTAAAAACACTTCTTTAAACATTCTAAGTGATTTTAATCGTTTCTTTCAAAGCAATATCAGTTAAAAACATTATTAAGAAAGTTCTTTGTCAAAATGCTTTTGTTTTTGATTTGTTTAAAACTATTTTTGAGGCATTTTGCAAAATGAATGAAGAAGCTTTATGCAGTGGAAAAGGTAAAGTGGTTTTACCTAAGCTTTCTGTTAAGACACACTAAGTCTTCAGCTCCATTCTTCTGAGTGACTTGTTTGACTGCTGCAGAGTTGACCCTTGACTTTATTTTTGACTTCATCAAAT